GATCCCGTGACCGTACGCCTGCATCCACACCCGTGCTAGTAGTCCCGATCCAAGCACGACGAGCCATGACCGAACCATCTCGATTCAGATCCACGACCTAGCGAGCAGACTCGACTCATCCTGCACCATATGCAACCCGTTCAACTTAGACCCGAGTTGACCAGCTCCAGAACCGACTCGATTCAAGCTACCGACCCATTTCACTAGCCTTCCTCTTCTTTCAATTTTTTTAATTCGAGCCCAATTTGAGGTATATCAGCTTGAATCCTCCTAATTGATGTCTCCCATATATTAATGTCTTTCCATTACCCACTTGATACCTAGCCCCTAATTGAAGAGGATTTCTAACATCGAGCCAACACTTCCACATCCATGAATCAGAGTTCTTCTTATTAATGTGCCATAGATTCTTGTTGTGGAATATTTGCCTTTGACAAACTTTCTTTTCAACGTGTTAGGCTTTGTAGCACTCTCCACACCTGCTTCTGCATCAAAGCTTCATTCATAGCAACAAAATTCCTAAAACCCAAACCCCTTTCATCCTTAGATTTAGCAATTTTCTCCCAACTAGCCCAATGAATCCTGTCCTCACCTTGCTTATTTCTACCCCACCAAAAACCTGAGATAGCCTTACACAGCTCCCACACAGCCCCACAGGTAATTTAAAAATAGACATTGTGTAAATAGGAACCGCATTAAGGACTGCCTTAATCAAAATCTCCCTATCAGCTTCACTTAAAATTTATTCTTCCAGCTAACAACTTAGAAATCACACACTCTTTAACAAACGAAAAGGTTTCTTTTTTTGTTCCTGCCAATGCCAAAGGGTAATCCTAAGTATCTAGACTTCTTAGCTTCTTTAATTCCCTGAAACAAGTTGCAGATCATCAGTTTAGTCACCTCAGGTTTATTGGCTGAAAAGAAAATGTTGGACTTGTGAAGGTTAATGGCTTGGCCAGAGGCTTTGCAATAGGAATTCAACACAGAAAGCAAAGTACAAGCATTTTTCTTATCAGCTTGGCAAAAAATGAGGGAATCATGAGCAAAAAAGAGATGGGTATCTTCAGGAGAGAATCTACTAATTTGAAGACCTCTAAAAGACTGCGCAACAGAAGCTTGTTTACGGGCATTGGAGAAAGCTTCAGACAAGATGATGAAAAGATATGGTGAAAGAGGATCACTTTGTCTAAGCCCTCTAGAAGGAACAACCAATCCCAAGTTTTGACCATCAAGATTAAAAGAAAAAGAAGCAGAACTAATACAGTCCCAAATCCAAGTGAAAAAAGTATTACAAAATCCCATCTTCCTACACACTAGAAACAAGAAATCCTACTCTACCCTATCATAAGCTTTTTCCATATCCAGTTTCAAAGCCACAAAACACCCTATCCCTCTCTTCCTACCATTCAAAAAGTGGATACTCTCATTGGCCATAATCACATTATCTAATATATGTCTACCAGGGACAAAAGCTGCTTGGGACTGGGAAATACAAACATGAAGGACTTGGTTAAGCCTATCAGCAAGCATTTAGCAATCAACCTGTAAGTAATGGTACACAAGCTAATAGGCCTATACTTTGTAATGACTTTGGGGTTCTTAACTTTGGGGATTAAGGTGATGACTGTGTGATTAGTGGCTTTGGGAATGCAACCATGTCTAAAGAAATTGTCAACAGCAGCACAAGATCACATTTAATGAAATCCCAAGATTTTTGAAAAAATAATGGAGTAAATCCATCAATACCTGGTGCTTTTTGCGGATCCATTTCCCACAAGGCCTCTTTGATCTCATTCTCATCCACCAGTCTTGTTAGTCTTTGGTTCATGGCACTAGTAATAGATGTTGGTTTCCCTTGGAGAAATCCCACATTCCTCACCGGGTTTATAGATGAAAACAGCTCCTCAAAATAGGAAACCAGTTCTTGAAGAACATTCTCCTGACTCCTACATCTTCCCCAGTTCTCTTCTCCAAATTCCTCAAATTGTTCCTCATCCTCCTTTGCTTCACACAAGCCTGAAAGAAACTCGTGTTCCTATCCCCTTCCTTAAGCCATTTAACCCTTGCTTTTTGTCTCCAATATACTTCTTCGTCTCTGTATGCCTGGTTCACCATTGCTTTACATGTGTCCCACTCCTCCCAGTCTCTGCACCACCTAGCTGCCCCAAAAGTTCAAGTTTTGCATTACCCTCTTTAATCACTTTGGCAGAATTAAAAGATTTCTTGGCCATCCATTTCAACAGAAGGGCTATTCCATAGCGCCACCTCCGAATGAAGCGAAGCGAAGTTCAGTCTAGCCATGTCGGGTGGAAATAAACAAACCCTTGACTTAGCGCGCTACGGTCTAAGGGCTGAGTTATCCTTGAAGGATTCTTTTGCCCTAAGCTCGTTTTCGTGGGGGTTAAAAGTGAGCTGACTTGTCGAGCAGCGTTCGTTCGTCCCCTTATTCTAACTTCACAATTTTCAGCTTTTTCTGAAATCTATATAATCCAGGCCCCGGTGTATTAATACTCCATGCTGACCTCACACAATCTCCAAATCCCTCCTCCTTCACCCAGCGGCTATCAAAA